TTTTATATTTACAAATAATCAATATTTTATAGTTTTTCGTATAAGTAAACAACGACACTAAAAAAGTATAGATTTATTAATTTGTGCAGTTTTTACTAGAGATTCTTAAACATTGAAAACTAGTACAACACCCCTGTATTAGACGGGTTGCTTGTTAGAAAATTATTCTTAAATTTTATAATTAGTGAGAAAACTATATTAAATTTAGTTACTTTTTTACAAAAAAAATATATTACTATATATTTTAGAATAATATGTGTTACTTATGACTTACATTAGTTTTTATAACTTATATCATATAACTACTTGAAATATAAATATATTAGTTGATAAATAATTTTATTTTTCTAATTAATATTAAAAATAATTTTATTATTGTTATAAAGATAAATATAAATTATTTTTTTATACATACAATATGAATGTTAAATCGAAGCTCATCAAAAGAAGATTAATTTGATATATTACATATGTAAAATTGATAAAAAAAATACAAAGTTATTAACTTTTAAAATATACATGCAATTCAATAGTTATAATAAGGAATGATATTAAAATGCAATTAATACTTGTAACATGACCATAAATAATCAACATATTTATGGTAATTCGAACCTAATTATTTTTTGTTTGAAATTAAATTAAAATTTACTCAAGCTTAATAATGAAGCATGTAATTTTGCCACATAGAATTTCGAAGCACCAGAAACAGTCTGAGCACGTTCTGGATTAGTATATAGGCCTTGTTTGGCGATTAGCGGATAGCGGATTGTATTAGCAGATAGCGGATAGCGGATTATATTAGTTGATTTGACCAGCGAATTGCATTAGCGGTTTTTAAATAAGTGTTTGGTAAATAGTTGAAAGCTTATAGCTATATTGCAACTTACTAATAAGGACATTTTTATTATTTAGGGTGTATTTTTTAACAATAATATATTAAAACATTTAATATTCTTTAGTTGGTAATTTATAAATATATATTTTTTTTAAAAAAATTCACTAACACTTGATTAACAAGTTCCAAATTAATTTATAGTAGATTGTGAATCCTCTATCCAAAAAAGCTCCTCTAATGAGCTTTTTCTAAATTAGAGTTTTTGGCCCAAAAAGCTTATCAAATAAGCTATTTACCAACAAGCTCAATAGCGGATTTGACAGGTCAAACCTCTCAATTAAGTCCAATCCGCTAATCTATCTTCAATCCGCTATCTTCCAAACGGGGCTATAGGGGAGGGGAATATCCCCAGTTTTTCGTATAAGTATAAATCTTATTAATTTTGTATAAGATCCACCCATAATGAAAAGATATACTTTTATTTATATTATTTTAAAAAATACCTCAAGCAAGTATTAATATTTATTTAAACGAATAATATTATCCGGTATTTAATAATGAAAAAGAAAATGGAGTTGTGGGTATTATTATTTTTAACAACAAAATATTAATTAGAATATTGTAAGTGCAACATCTGTCTATTTATTTTTCTCAGTCATTATAATTTTACATCTTTTGTAAAAAAAATTGCTTTACTTTATGCCTTTATGAATGAAGTCTTCACAGTTCAGAAAGAAGAATCATCATTATCTTCTCCTTTTGACCTTTTGGTAACGCACGCTTTCACTTGCCTTTTACGCGTTTTTGGAGCCCACAGCAATCAATGAAAATGATAATATGATATGTGTAAGTAACTTTTGAAGCTAATGATGATACCATTCTTATACTTATAGTCGAAGAATTTACATTAACAATGTAGTATTATAATCTTTTTTTAAAAAAAAAATAAATAAATATGTGACTAGCGGCCTAACCGTTTAACGATCGATCATAAATATTTTTATTACAAATTATATAATTATATTACGTAATATCGGGGGCGAAACCACAGTATTAATCGGAGAGGCGCCGGCCCTTCCAAAAAAAA